AGATATCCTTGCCCTTTTGCAGGCAGAAGCCACAGATATCACCAGTCCTACGTACTGGCATGAAGAGAAGTGTCACAGTTCATTCACACATTCATACATTTGACAAATGCTTGTATCTCAGTGTACCTTTACCAACTCTGAGGATATCTGACCAGTCACAGTCTATTTCCTCTTGGAATGGTTTTTTTTTTTTTTTTTTTTTTTTTTTTTTTTTTTATGGCAAAGAGACAGATATGCCTGGTCTTTGCACCATTTCATGATAACTACATATACAGATAAGAGTAGACGATGCAATCAGCTTTGGAGAGGATCAATAATGCCTGTTGCTAAGCAACACAATAGCAACTATAAGTATATCCTAGCGGTTGGAGAGGCAAGGATTCATGGTGCATTGCATTTTTTTGTTAAAGGAATGAGGACTGATAACATTCATCAATGGGAAAGAGCACAGGCTACTTGAGACAGTGCAAATGGTTTATTATTTCAAGGTGCAGCCTGGGGCTATTCAACTAGGATACACCCTCCTGCCCCAGATAGGGAAGAGGTAACATATGCCTTGCTTTAGTTCCCTAATGTTCCTTGGTGGCCATAAGTATTTGCATGTGTGCATGTGTAATGGCTACATGCACCCTTCTGGGATGCAGGTGTGTAGCCCTCAGTATGTGTAAAGAATTGTAGGCCCCTCAATCTGGATACCCACTCCTGAGAATAAGGCTTATTTGGCAGTCTGACCAAGGAAGCTGACTGTCGTCCTTCCATGGACTTGGGTACCATGCTAAAGCTTCTCTCTTTCTATTTTCTTCATAATAGTTTGCTTCTTCAATAAAGCCAACTTAATAACATCAGCAAAGGGCAATGCCTGCAAGGCACGTACGTTGGGAAAAGGGCTGATGGGGTAGGGACAGCAGGGGAGGAGGTCACACAGGCTCTGTGACTAGCAGGAAGGCCGCAGGCTCTCAAGATAGAGGCTTGCTCTGGCTCCTGCCCCCTTCTGCTACACAAATGTGATTAGGACTCTGCAGAGCACACTGAAATCAGGTTAGTGTCACTGAACGATGCTGAGCTGGGGTAATCAGAGCCTGGAGCAGAGCAGGTGCTAGCTTTAATATGGCTTCTGAGAATTAGGACAAGCTGATTTGTAGCTCGGTGGCACGTGGACAAGTCATTAGGACACTGTCCATGCCACCCCCGATGCCTCGCCATCTTTGGTCTTACTGCCTGCTCACAACTCCTCTGCAGCTAGAAAGGACTGGGGCCCGTGGCAAGCACTCAGAACCACTGTCTTCCAAAGATGTGGCTAGTGGTATCACCATTGATCTATCCCTGGCCATATGCTCTTGGACAGTTACCTACTCTGGCATCTTCTCTAATTATGAAGCAGGGATTGTGAGCCTATCTAAGGTCATTGTGATGACCTACCCAGGAAGCACTCAGAGCAACCAGACTACACCAGCAAAGCACTAAGCACAGTCACTCATTTTTATTTCCCATCAGGGCTCCTTCCAGAACAAGGCAGAATGCTATTGTTTGTGCACAGTATCTCAAGCTCATTACAAATAAATCAATACTTGTGTGCAAATCTAAGAACGAACGTTTATGTTGCCCAAAAGCTCATCTCAGGCGATAAGCAGTAATCACATTTGGCAGAAATCATTCTCTATACTCTTTGTACATCCAGTAATAGATAAAGGCAGATTTTAACAAGCAAATCTTTAACATGTATGAATTCAACGGCAGAAATTATTGTTCTTAAGCCAATTAGTGTTTAGATGAGAACATTAGATGAAGCTGAAGCAATTGCTGCATTGCAGATAGGTCATTTCTAAGAGACACAAATGGCTAACGCAGTATTAATGTCGAGTCAATCTGTTTTTACTGAAACTGCATGGCTTTACCATGAATAACCCAGACAAAGCACTTAAGAGTGCTATGATGAACTAACCCAGTAAGCCAGGTACCTAAAGCAAAGTATCTTAACATTCAGTTAAATATCAGGATGAAGTTACAGACACCAAAGGAAAACCACATGTGACCCTGAGACCTACTGCATGCATGACTCATCGTGTACAAACGAGGCAAATGGGGAGAATGTTGACTGCATGAAGTGAGGACAGTGCGCTGAGATGTAGAGGAGTGTGAGGCTCCCGGAAAGCCTGGGAACAGGAAGCCTGGAAGCCCACTGGTACCTTTCACACTGGGCAAGTCCTGTGTCCATGTTACCTTGTGAGTGAGAAAGAAGGGGCCCAGCAAGCAACCCAGCAATGCAATACAACTGAGCTTCATACCTAGGGTGCTTTCTCTCTCTCTCATTTGAGTTTGGTTCTTTTGAGACAGGGTCTTCTTTCTTTTCTTTCTTTCTTTTTTTTTTCTTTTAAATACATTTATTTAGTGTGTATGTGGAGGCTGGAGGATACCTTATAGGAATCAGTTCTCTCTTTCTACCACATGGGTCCTGGAATCAAACCTAGGTCATTAGGCTTAGTGGCAAATGGCCTTGACTGTAACTTCCTATGAGCACTAAGAGAATGGCCTCGTGCTCTGACATCTGACTGGTCCTAAAGCTTCTGCATGTGTACCCTATGGTGTACTCCACAGAATGACATGGTCCTCTTCCGAGGAACTGTTAATAGGACAATAAACTATCTTCAGTGGAGGACTTCATGACCTTCTGGGTCACCATACATACATAATCACAAAGCCTGTATTTAAATGCTTGCCTCTGCTGAGCCTGAGGACAGCCCTATGAGGAGCTGACCTTTATGGATATAGATGGTTGCTAGAGAGAAGCTGCCAACTTGGTGCAGAAGAAACTCTGGTCTCTGGTAAAGGCACAACCTGTGAGAAAGAGTGCCAAGTACCTCCACCAACCCAGGCCCCAGTGAGCAGCAGGGCCCAGGAAGCCAGGTGAGTGACCCACAGATGACAGGTTACCTGGCAAGTGAGTATGATCTTGCTGTAAGGTGGGTTTGGCTTTCAGAACAAATATAAGTGGTCATCTGTGTATCAGCCAGAAAGGCCTTGCCAGATAACCATGTCTAAATTTCTGACCTGTCCTAGTTAACACTTGGACCCTGTGGTGTAGTCAATATTATTGGATCAGGGGACTTGATGCAAGGGTGCAAACTTTGCTCAAACAGCATTGTGTGCCTTACTTCCCGGGAGACTTGAACAATCATGAACACTTGACATTTGACATGCAATGGACACAAGTGTACATGAAATTTCATGTTTCCATCAAGCCAGAGGAAGTTCACTATCCCAACAGCATGACCTCTGTGAATCATATTGGCCCTTGGCTTTCATAAACAAGACTTTTTCTTATCATTTGGAGAGGGTCAGTTCAGCAAACACATTTTAGGGTCCATTCCATGTCTAGTAAAGTACAAATTCCCACCAACATAAAGACTTGGTTTCAAGAATATTGTGGAGCTGGAGGAAGAGATAGTCACATGAATGAGCAACACAGGTTACAGTGTCACTAGGCACAGAGAGGATAGATTCTACAGAGGATTCTAGGTCATTGTTCCCATTTCAGGATCCACAGTACCCCAAGTTTTCTCAGAACACCTTTAGTATCATTGACAGCAGCAGCAGAACTTTCTCATGGACCTTTTGAAGGTTGAAGCAAATCTTTGGGAGCAATGGCATTCTGGATAAGAAAAGTCACAGAGTAAGGACATTGTACACACACACACACACACACACACACACACACACACACACACACACCCCACACACACACCTAGGTGAAGATGTCTAAATTCTTTATTCTATGGGAGACCTTATCTCTAACAGATACAGCTGAAGTAGAATATAAGAATTCATGTGACTAAATTCCTTCATTTCTATCCAATGCACCATTCCTTGAAAATCTTTTGTAGGTTAAATGTAAGTGATAATCCATGAAAGCCAGTACTTCCTAGCCTCACAGCTCAGAGTTCAGGTATATATGTGTGTGTGTGTGTGTGTGTGTGTGTGTGTGTGTGTGTGTGTGTATATATATATATATATATATATATATATATATATAGTGTGTGTGTGTGTATTATATGCCCTTATGTGTATGGTCATATGCATGACCATGCATGTGTATGTGGAGGTCACAGAAAGACATTGACGTCTGTATTGTGATCCCCACCATATATTTTTTAAATTATAAACCAGGCAATGATGATGCACACCTTTAATCCCAGCACTCAGTTGGTAGAGGCAGGCAGATCTCTGTGAGTTCAGGGCCAGCCTGGTCTACAGAGTGAGTTCCAGTACTGCCAGGGATATACAGAGAAACCCTGTCTCAAAAGAACAACATATATATATATATATATATATATATATATATATATATATATATATATATATTGTGTGTGTATATATATATATATATGTGTGTGTGTGTGTGTGTATGGTGTGCACCATGTGTGACCTAGTGCCAATAGAGATCAGAAGAGGACAATAGATCCCTTGAAACTGGAGTATGGACAATTGTGAGCAGCCATGTAGATTCTGGGAACCAAACCTGGTTCTTCTATAAGAGCAGCAAGTGCTCTTAATTGCTGAGCCATCTCTCCAGCCCTGGTATTATTCTATTAAGCAGGGTCTCTCATTGAACCTGAAGCCCACTGTTTTGGCTAAGCTAACTGACCAGTAAGTCCCCGGCATCTACCAGTGTCTGTCCCCCAATGCTGGAGTTACAGACATATGAGGACATGCCTAGGTTTTTTTATGGGAGCTAGGGGCTTGAACTCAGGTCCTTTTGCTTTCCCAAAAAATATTCCTACCCACAGAGCCATCTCTCCAACCCACAGCTGAGACTTGTTCATAGGTTTGTTCTCTTTGTCTATTTTAACCAAAAGATTAAACACATATTCATGGTTTTGTGTCTCCATGAAAATAGTCATTAGCATTGTGCCTGGGCTATCCACTAGCAATGGCTGTGAAAGAAGGGCTGGGTTACAGCAATGGCAACATGAACGATAAAATGGTCCTTTTTTACTTCCTAGGTGGTTGTTACACTGGGAACCACATCTTGCTGCTCTTTTGACAATCTCCTAGAAGTGGGCCCCATCTGTGAGTATCCGATTTATTTTTCTTTTTGAAAAGCATTCTTAACATGGAAGGGGGGAGATTTAGCCAACCTTTCACTCTTAGCTGTGCTCCTCATTAATTCTAATCATCTTGATTTGCATGCCTTGTCTTATATTTACAATAATGTAACCCCATGGACTTAAATTCCATAAACTCGGAGTTTGAGCTAATCACACAATCGCTGAGATTAACAATACCAACATACTATTTGGAAGAGAGAAAATGTCCAAGTACTTCATGGGAATATAATGTTTAGGATATGGTGACTATGTGAAGGAAACTAAGCTCCTCACCATTTGGAGCAATTACCCCAACACGAAGGTCCTTTATATGCCATGAGTTGACTGAATCTAATCTTTTGTCATGCCCGTTTGGCTTTTCTGTTTTGGTTTGGTTTTGGGTTTTTTGAGACAGGGTTTCTCTGTGTAGCCTTGGCTGCCCTAGAACCTGCTCTGTAAATCAGGCTGACCTAGACGGCAGAGATCCACCTGCCTCTACCTCTGAAGTGCTGGGATTAAAGGCATGTGCTACCTCTGCCTATCACATTTTAATTTTTTTAAAGAAAGTAAATTATTATAAACCAGAAGGTGTTGGTGCACACCTTTAATCCAGCAAAAAGAAGGCAGAGGCAAATGGATCTCTGAGTTTGAGGCCAGCCTGGTCTACAGAGTGATTTCCACAATAGCCAAGAATACATAGAGAAACACTGACTTGAAAAGCCAAAAAAAAAAAAAAAAAAACAACCAAAGAAAGAAAAGAAATTGTTGTGATATGCAGTAACATTTTCATTTTCAGTGAGGATAAACACCAGTTGGAATGGCATATGCTATATCTTGGGTGTATACAAGCATACTCTATGATGCTTTCCCAATGACCACCTTGTGAAATGACACATTTCTCAGACTGCCATCATTAAGCAGCATGGGGTGGTTAGTATTGATTTAGCAAATCAATACTTTCAAGATAAACTTCTACAGAGAATGCTCCATTTCAGGCCTCGTGCTCTCCTCCTTCCTCCCTCAATCAGGACATTTTGTCTTTCTCGTTGAGTCTAGAATTCTGTGATAGTTACAAAATGAACAAAAGCCTGTGTTTGTAAAGTTTCACCTTTGATGCGAACACTGGGAACTCAGCAGGCCTTGGAAATGTTTCTAAGGCATCAAGTATATATCAGCCCATGACACTCACCCTTTTCTGTCCCTCAGCGATGTGAAGGCTCGGGTGGAGTTGTCCCTAGCAAGCTCTCTGACCTCAGTCCTTTGACTTGTGCCAGACATCACGCCACCTGCTTGGCATTTGGCTTCATTGTCAGTCCGTGTGGGCCAAGCACGTTTCCCACCTCTCCTAACCCCTGATTTGCTTGTGGTCTCTTCTCAGGAATGGGTTCTTCTCCCCTGGGTCATTATTGCCTGGCTAGCAGGAGACAGGGGTGGAGGTGGTGCTGCAGGCTTCTCCCTGGTGGGGTGGGGGGTGGAGGGGTGGCCATGACCTTAAGCAGCAGAGAAGCTTATAGCTTACAGCTGCATGTCTTAAATTCTGATCTTCATTTTCCCCTATCTAAAAATTGGAAAGAAAAACGGCTCTCATAATGGCAAAACAGTATTTCCTTCACAGTGGAGCTCAGGGGAGTTCATGCAGACAATGGGCTGTAGGAAAGGCATGTACTACGTGTAGTACACGCTTGTACTGCCAGGACCGTGAGGCTAATCACCAACCATGAGAAGTGGGGTGGACACAGCCTTGCCATTCACTCAGGATTTGGCTCCACCTGTTATGAGCTATGGCACAGCTGTAATTATTACTGGCTAAAGACAGCCACACACAGCAGGCTGAGAACACACTGAACTAGCTGGCCATCCCCAGCTATGGCTGTACTGTGGGCCTCGTTAGCTACAGACCTTCACAAGCTCAGCCAAGCAAGTCGAAGTCCTCTGACTCAGATGTCAGGCCAAGGACTGAATGTCCTGGCCAACAGCCGGCTGATGTCATTCCCCAGGGCTATCGGATTTAAAGCACTGAAGTCTTCTGCCAGTAGAGCCTACACGGCTGCTATCCCTGAACTCAATCTGGCTCCCCACAGGAGCAGGAAGATGACAGCCAGCAGGTGGCCCCTGCCATTAATGCTCACAGTGCTGGATGATTACAGCTCATGCTGCCCTGCTGTCTGTCCTGCAGCTCCCTCTGTCAGGCAGTTCTGGTGCTGTGGGCAGAACTTGATAGGTGCTTTGCTGTGTGGCCTCAATCCCAGAGATTGCTTTTGGGACAATGTTAGGGGTGGTGACAGGCCAACACCAAAGTTTTTCATGCATGGTCAGTGTTCATTCTTGAGGGCAATAGTACTAACCAGTGGTAGTGTCTTGTAGTTAAAACCTTTGCCACCAATGACTTTTATTTAGCCATCATCAATTAGCATGCTTCACCAGCAAGCACTATGCTCTGAGCTGGCCTTATCCTATTGATTAAAATGACATAGTCATAACAGCACAGAGTTCTTCACTCACCATCTCTTGGAAGATGACTTTCTTCCAGTTTCTGCTTCAGGAAACTTGAGCTCTTATTAGTCCCTTTGAAAATGGTGCACCAACTGGGTGGTGGTGGCCCACGCCTTTAACCCCAGTACTCGGGAGGCAGAGACAGGAGGATCTCTGAGAGTTTGAGGCTAGCTAGCCTATTGAACAAGTCCCAGAACAGGCTCCAAAGCTACAGAGAAACCCTGTCTCAAACAAACAAACAAAACAAAACAAAAAACAAAACAAAAACAAAAAAACAAAAAACCAAAAAAAAAAAAAAAACGAAAAGAAAGAAAAGGATAACGGTGCATCAGATGCATCAGAGAGGATAGTGATGTTAGGCTAGATTGATTGCCATAAGAGGTGTCAATTAAGAAGAGATAGGTTATAGCAGAAGATATGGGAGGAGCAACAGAGGGGTGAGAGAAAAAGAGACACCTAAATACCCTTCCAGACCCTACCTTTGGTTTTTCAAGACAGGGTTTCTCTGTGGCTTTGGAGATTGTCTTGTAGACCAGGCTGGTCTTGAACTCTGCCTCCTGAGTGCTGGAGTGTTTCTTACTGTAGGCCCATGGAGACTTTCCATCTTGTTTTGTCTTACTCCTTCGTTTAGCATCCTGAACAATGAACAATGGTGTCTATGTCTATAGAACTCTATTAGAAGACCTCAGCTAAAAAAGCACATACTGTAGATAGAAGTCTATGTTGGACCCAAGCAGCACTCATGGAAAACATGGAATCATCTTGTTTTAGTTCATTTGGCATGCTCCACAAAACACCACAGACCCCAGGGACTTAAAAATAGCAGGAATTCATTATTTACATTTTCTAGTGTGTGAAAATGCAGGATCAAGTCACTGGCAGATTTAATGCCTGGAGAGAACTTATACCCTGGTTACTGGTGGGACATTCTATGTGTGCTCAAGTGGTAGAAGACACAAGCAGTCTCTCTGGCGTCTCCTTTACAAGGGTGTTAGTTGAATTCCACCATGATAATCTGGTTACTTCCCAAAGGTAATATTCTCAGCTTGGTTTAACGGACATTCAAATTACAGCATGCTTGTTCTACAAAGGAGTATAGAGTTCTTCTGGCCTCACAGCTAATCTGAGTGATAGCTGTGCTGGCCATCCATCATGATCCTGCTGTTCCCTGGGGAGAGTCTTGTGTTATCCTAAGGCTTTGTCTCTTGCTTCATCCAACTGAGGTCATGTGAGCAGCTGCTCAGACTGACACTTTCACCTTTGCTTGCAATGACCCGAGTTTCTCCTTGTACCTTGGTTTTTTAATATGGTGGTATCCACAAGCTTATAATTCATCTGACCTTGATTTCCTAAGAGTCTTAGTTTGAAGAATAAACTGAACCAAAGTTTTGCAATGTCTTTTACATCTTTTATCAGCAGAGTTCATAATGACTCATTTTTCTTCTCAGCACAGACATTAATGGCCATTATGCATGAAAACCCGTGGTGGATCCTTTATTCTGTATAAATACAAGGACACCAGTATCTTGGCTTATGCAGGGATGGTTGCCTGCTATCTTCTCTGTGGCCTCAACCTTTAGGTCTTAATGACCTTGTGACTATACTTGGTGGCTGGGCTATTTATTTCTTTTGGTGTATGAGTTTTCCTAGATAGATACAAAGTATTACTCATCTCAGACAGGAAACCAGTGGAAGACCAAATTAACAATTCCACAAAAGTCCAACTTGGTAACCATTGACTTGAATTGTGGTTACTTACAGGAGTTTGGGTGAGGGGTTACTCACAGAAACATGGATGACTAAAGGGCAGCTACATCACTGAAAAGCCCACACCAGCCTGGGTGATAATCTCACAGATGCTACACCCTGGAGCTCCCTGCAGAATTTGCAGGCAGCACTGCTGGCCAGTCTCCTTTCCCTAGTAACCATTATTTCTATATAATTGGGGTGGGGGTGTCTTTTAAACCTTATCAGTTTTAAGAACTTCCTGAGACCTGTGAGATTTGTTTACTTCCTGAGTCTTAAGAGGTCTTTCTCTGAGATGGAATGTTTCAATTTGTATGAAATTGCTACACAACAATGGACATTAATTTCTTTCTTTCCTTCCTTCCTTCCTTCCTTCCTTCCTTCCTTCCTTCCTTCCTTTCTTTTTTCTGTGTGACTATCCAGGAACTTGCTTTGTAGATCAGGCTGGCCTTGAACTCAAAGATCTGCCTGTCTTTGCCTCCCAAGTGCTGGAATTAAAGGTGCTCAGCACTATGCCCAGACCTGAAAATGAATGTTTTTTTTTTCACTGACTTCTAAGTGATAGGATATGCAAAGTAGGAGTATTATCTAGTGTATACTCAAAGTTAAATATATCACCCTTACCTTCATTTGCCTATAAGAGAATGAAGTTTAGGCTGGGTGGATATGGGCAGACATCTGTAGAGCAGTGAGCTAAAATACATACATATTGATGAAGTATGCTTACAGAGAAGGCTCCCTCATTCCCAAACAAAGTAAGGTGAGAGCTCTATCTTTAAGGCTGTTATGTGTGGTTGGAGTGAAAGTGAATGTCAGTTTGATGGGATCTAGAATCACTAGGAGACAAGCCTCCAGGCACACCTGGACCTTTATTTAGATTAGGTTAGCCTCTGGCAAGACCTTTGGAGGATTATCTGGATTAGATTAATTGAGGTGGAAATATCCACCTTAAAAGTGGTAACTCAATTCACTGGGCTAGGGACCTGTATTGCATAAAAAGTAGAAATCTAACTGAGGACAAGTATTCGTCATTTTCTGCTGCTTGATCACCTTGAACTGTGAGCCACGCAAGCCCATTCTCCCTTACGTTCCTTCTGTTATGGTATTTTATCATAGCAAGGAAAAGTGACCGATTCAGTTTGGAAACTTCAGTCATTTATGGCAAGAGCCAAGGGTAGTTTAAAATAGCGTAAGATAAATGACCTAACTTTGTGGTGGGCATGAAGGAGGCAGATCAATGTCAGTGGATATATTGGCAGGGTTCTCTAGAGGGAGAGAACCAATAGAATGTGTACATGTACATCCTGTACACACATGTGTACATCTATAGGTTATAAAAATGGGACATGTTAGATTGTCTATAGCAGCTCCCTCCATGTAGAGAGAGATACAAGGAACTTGGTCACTGCTCAGCTGCCCAGGAAGTAGATACTTCAGCAGTTCCAATCCAGAGCTGAAAGCCTGGAGATACTGGAAAGATAGGGTGAGGAAGCTGGAGTGTAATGTCAGCCCAAAACAGCACCAGCAACAAATGCAGTTAACACGACTAGGAGACAGCATTTGGGGCAAGAAGGCAAGGTGACAGTGTTGTTCCTCTTTATATGTGACCTATGCATTGGAAGGTACCATCCCCTTTCAGTGGCTCTTCCCATCCTGAGCTAACACTCCCTAGAAATGTCCTCACAGACATGTCAGGAGCTTTGTCTTCCCTGGTGATTCCAAATCTGGTCAAATTGATAACTAAGACCATGAGAGTAGGGATTGTGTGTCCAACTTTCCATAAAGGATGTTTCTTAAAGGAGGACCTGAGAGGGAGCTAGCAAATACAATAAGGGGTGCCATGTGCTAGACTCAGCACTGTACTGAGTGGTTGCTTCTGCTTCTCTTTCTTTCCTTCTTTTTTTCTTTCTTTCTTTCTTCTTTAGATCCACAAATGCTATTGATATGCTATATGTAAGAGATATGCTAGACTCTAGATAGGCATTTCTTGCATGAGGCGAGGCTGTGTTCAGGTGTGATCTCACCATTTGCTTCTGACCATTAGGCAACCTGGAGGGAGTGTGGCTGCACATTGACGCCGCATATGCAGGCAGTGCCTTTATCTGTCCTGAGTTCAGGTATCTTCTGAATGGTGTGGAGGTGAGTATGCTTTAGGCTGTTCAATACGGTCTTTGGTTTTGACTTTTTGCACTGTGAACCAAGCCCAGGCGCCTCCTGTGTACCCGGCAAGTACTCTGCCACTGAATAACATGGCTACTCCAAGATCATTAAAAAAGAAAACCAAAGACAAACCCAGTGTATTATCAGTAAATTCTCCTTTTGTAAGAATTGGACACCCCAACTCTTACTGCAAACTACTTTCCAGCCAATTGTGATGATTATTAGATGTTACATCTCCTCAGGGAGCTGGAGAAATGAATCAGTGATTATGAGTACATACTGTTCTTGCAGAGGACCTGAGTTTGATTTCCAACATCTACTCCCATAACTGCAACTCTTGGAGATTTGATGGCTCTAGCCTGTGCACACCTGCATTCACATGTATTTATCCCATGCCCCCCCATACATAATTTTTAAAAATGAAAACTAATTTAATAAAAGAAATACACTTCCTCAGGACAGGGGCTGAGGACATCCAGTCATGCAGCCTGTCTTTTGAAGTGTTCCTGAGGCTGACAGCTATTTCCCAGTTGCTACAAATCTGGGCAGAGCTGTGTTTCATGGGTTAGACTTACAAAGCTATGGAAGAATATTTCTGAGCAAAGTAGACTTTCTATGCATTCCAGTCAAACAATAATTCAAAATGTCAACCCGAAATTCCCTCCAATCTGGCTCAATGTGTTGCTCACATTCCTCTCCTATACCTGAGCATGACAGACACATTAGTCACTGCCCCACAGAAAGTCACCAATGCATTTACGTGTCCCATGGACTTTTCTGAAAATTACAAAATGTATCCTGCCAGAACAAATGAAACTCTTCCTTGAAAAGTAGTAATCCAAACAGTTAGCCAGTACTTTCTCTCCTTAGAACTATAGAACACAAGTAGTGTGGGCTTAACACAGATATCACCAATAGCTTTCCAGACTCATGCAGAATTCCATTGTTTGGCAGTCCATAGGATAGGAAGCTTTTCTACCTGGCAACTAGCTGATTAATTCACTAAAGTGCCCCAAGGGGCCTTTTGTAGAAGTGTGTCCAAGGAAGGAGGTACTAAAATAGGGGAGTCAGTGCCTTAGCCAGGAAAGAATTGCTTTCTTCTTGGAAGAAGTGGTTTCTAGAGACCTCACTTTCTAAGCAAAGCAGGATCAGCATGTAGACTTTAGCATTAGGCTCCCAAATTGGAATCACCATGTGCCCTTGGGCAGTTCAGGTATCCTCTGCTCATATCATGAAATGGATTTCCTCCTGAGGAAGCCTTTGTCAAGTTATCCTAAGGAGTGGCTGTGTTAATCTCACTTAAAGTATTTAAGAAGAGGGTGCTGCCTAAGAAACCGTACACGCATTAGATGCTTTCCTTATTTTCCACCAGGGTTTGAAGAAACTACCTCTAAACTGCTTTCTGCTGGCACATCAGGCTTGCCGATCAATTTTCTAATTACTATTTTGAATTTTCATAAGACTGTAATAACAGAAAACTGAACATCAAAGGTATGGAATACAAATTGCCCCGTCTTTGAAGAGAATAATCTCCCACAAAAGCACTGTGGTTTCTTTCTGTGCTGCATTCATTCATTCATGTATGCAGTCAGTAATTCCTTACTGAGTTTCTTTCATGCTACACTTAGATCCATCCCAGGAGGTAGAAAGAGGTCAGCATCACAAAGTACTGACGGTTGTGCTAACATGTGGAAAGTTCTGATGCTATGATTCTGATGCCAAACCTCTTAATGTCCCGTAGCTAGTTTTGTGGGTGTTTGGGTCTCAGAAATGAACATTAATCTTGATGGTGTGTGGACATTTCTAATTTAAACTCCAGCGTCCAAAATGTTCCAAAGTCAGAAACTTTCCAAGCACTTACATTATGCCAAAGTGGCAAATTCCATATCATGAAGCTTTGTTTCATACACGGAAAATTTAAAAACACTGAGTAAAACTACCTCCAAGCTGTTTCTTCCAACACTTATATTTCATGTTTAAGTTTGGGTCCAATGGCTAATTTATGTCACTCTGTATGTGCAAATACTTTTAAATATAAAGAAGCATTTCAGATAAGGAACACTCAACCCATTTGTCCTTCAACTGGTGGAGGGAAGAAGGGCCATAGTCTCCTTTCCGTAGTCAGGCCTAGGCTGGAGCCTGCTGACTCCAGGTATCCGGTTTAGGGTTTCCTCATCTACCAGTGCTCTTCTTTGGCCTGAACTGACAACTCAGAAGTTTCACCTTTCACAGAGGGGTGCGGGACAGTCAGACCACCACAGCGATGGGCACCGCAGCCAGATCGTATCAACAGCAGACGGCATTCATGGCACTCACAGGGACAAGGAGTCGCTGCAATTTTTCCTCCATTAGGGGTACCGCTCTCTCCTTGCCTGGCTGAGGGCTTGGCTGCTCCGTGGTCAGATAAGCGGCCGCAATATCCTGCTGTGGCCCGACCCTTGCAGATAAGGGCCGTCCTCTCTGTCAGCGGGAGGAAAATATCACTGTACCGTAATGAAAGAAGTTTAAACAGATCAGCCCAGCGGAGGGAACTAATAAAATCCCCAGCAAACAATGCTCCTCTTTAACCTTTTGTTTCCTTTTATCAACAAATGAAACTTGCTGTAATTTCCTGTCTCCTTCTCAAAATTACTTTTTCTGAAACCTGGGAGGAAATGAATCGGCACCTCCAGCTTGGGTCCATATGGAAGCTTGCTTGGTTGGCCCCATGTCTATTACTGACACCAATCACACCCCTTAGGGCTTTGCTGCCTCCTCAGTGAGGGTCCCTGGAATTAAATAAAGAGGAAGCAACCGCAAAGCCTTGGGAAGTTTGAAAAATGTCCCTTTAGGAAATCGGGGTAGACTGAACCTTGCTTCTATCTAAATCGAGCTCTGAGGCCAAATCCCTGACATTCAGATGGACTCATTGCCACTTGTCAGTCACGTGGGAAACGGGGCCTGCATTTGGAAAAAGAAAAAGGCAGAGGGCGGCCTTTCAGAGGCTGAAACCCAGGAGCCATCCGTGGCTGTTGCTTGTTGAAACTTCATTTTTCCCTAAAAACATGGTCTGTGAAGCTGCAGCCGTTAGGTGTGATCCTCCAGCCAAGAAACCTGAAACTGTCAGGAATTCAGCGAGCTTAGACATCTTTAAAACTGAGAAAGAAAACCCTTAGGTACATGGAAAGTATGGTCCTGTTGTCCTGCTGGCAAAAAAACCTTCAGTTTTAAATAAAAAAGGGAATTTCTAATCATTCTCAATTAGTTTTGATATTTTCTTTTTCCTCTTTCCTGTCCTTATGATGATACATATAATCTGAGAACTTTGCTAGCTCGGAAAGTTAAAGGGAAAAAGTATTTGTGGACCCAATCTGTATATTTTGGACATGGGACTTATAAATTGAATATTCTGGATTTCCAGTGCTTTTGGACTCTCACATGGAGAATTTTGTGTGGTATTAACGCGTGTCACTGAGAATGTGAACTCTTAGAACGCCCAGAGTCTTGCTTTATCCCTAAAGAGCTGTACTAAACTGTTTCTTTTCTGTTCTTATTCCTCTGCAGTTTGCAGATTCCTTTAACTTTAATCCCCACAAGTGGCTTTTGGTGAATTTTGACTGCTCTGCCATGTGGTAAGTTTCTTTGTTGTTCAAATACTATTGCCTGCGGTGACCCTTGCTCTGCAGAGATGCAGGCCTACCTGCCAGAACACATCCAGGGCCTGGGCGAGAGCAGAGAAAACACATCTAATCACTTAGTTCATCAGTCACTTCCATTTCAGAACCACTGTTGGAATTCTTGCTCAATCTCTCTCTGGTTGTAAACTTTTATCTAGAATGTATTGTTGCAACAGATTAGCTTGAGGGAAGACTGGAGACAGTCAACCTGTCATTTGACTTATCGCTCCTGAGCCGGCAACAGATCCAAGAGAACTTCAGCACTTATATTTAATTATTTGGCTTCTGTGTATTTATTCTTAGCTTTATCATCAGTCTCTCAGACTAACTCGGAGTTTAAACAATCTAACTGCTTAAAAGTACTTGCTGAGGACAAATAAAAGTACCAGGTCTTTAAAGTTCCCTGGAAATTCTTAGTAACAGTGCAGTAATCACTTTGGCTATATTTAAGTAAGAAAAATAAGTTTAAAAATCAAGTAATATTGTAGCACATAATGACGTTTTAAGGAATAATGTCTGGGAGTGATGCAGGGACACCCGGAACTATTTCTTAAAAAAAAAAAAATCAGAGTGAGAAATTAATTCCTCATAGAACCAGGAGAAGGCTTTGTTTGAATTTTGTAAATATAGCCTGTAAAGTTAATGTTTTCAATATGCCTGCTTACTTTGCAAAATTGCTCGGTGTGTAAAGTCATTAAATGAATGACACTCTACCTTAAAACAGGAAAGAACACACCTCTCACTTAATTTAAGTAATGTCAAATCCCTCAGTTTACCAAATAGCCAGTTTATTGTTTTATTAGCTTATCTGAAATGCTTTAACTGCTATAAAAATCAAATTTATTTTTGTCAGTCTTTTCATCCAAATTTTAATAACATTCTCCGAGTTTAATTTATTAATTTTGTGGTGTGTGTGTGCGCATGTGTGTGTGTGTACAGACATGCACAAGCCTTGGAATGTGTGCAGAAGGCAGAGGGCAACACTCAGGAGTTGGCCATTTCCTGCCATCTTGTGGGATCTGAGGCTTGAATTCAGGTTGCCTGCCTGTATGGGAGCACCACTATGCATTGAGCTATCGTACTTTCTGTTACTACAACAAACTATTGAAGAGAATCAACTCAAAAAGAAGACAAACATTTGTTTCCAGTTTCAGAGATTTCAGTCTATGGTCAGTAGGTTCCATTGCTTGTGGCTTGTGGTGAGGCAGCATATCATGGAGGAAACACGTGGCGTAGAAAGTGTCTGCCCCACAGTCAGCCAAGACACCAGAGAGATAGGAAGGACCTGGGTTCCTATGATTTCCTTAAAAAGCACAGCTTGCTATTGTAAGAGTTCCAACTAGGCCTCCACTCTGGAAGGCTCTACCAGCTCCTAACACTGCCACAGGTTGGGGAACCAGTGTCTTCTGGGCCTTTGGAGGTACATTTATCCAAACTGTCACAAGTGTTTTAGTCAATTCATGTTGCCCCAACAAAATACCACAGGCTCAGTAGATTACTAAGAGAAATTTATTTCTCACAGTTGTGGAGGATGAAAATCCAAGATTAAGGCCATGGTAGACCTATATGTCAGGTTAGGGTTCATTTCCTCATAGACAATTCCTTAATGTGTCCACATCTAGTGGCGGGGATGAGCAAGTTGTCTAGGATCTTTTATGAGAGGTATTCAGTAATTCCATTAAGACTGAACTATTGTGACCTAATGACCTTGAAGTCTCCCTCTCCTAATCACTTCAGGATGCAGATTCAACATTCAGATAGCAGCTAAAAGAAAACCCATTGTTCAAATATAGTTGCATTTGAATCTGAGTATTATAGAATTAAAACAAGAACAAAATTATTTTATGCTCTAGTGCTCTTAGCCATGGAGTGCTAGGAAATAAAATAATAACAGGTGTAAACTAAAAAAAAAAAGGAAACAAAAAACAAACAAACAAACAAAAAAACTAAATAAAACAGTGGGTGACAGTACATAACATGTAGGTGATGGTGGCTTCAGTTTCTGTGGTTAGGAAGCTATAAGGCGAATGCTTGGGGAAAGATGGGGAGAGAAATTTGGATGAGGAGTGTACAGAGGGCCTGGGAGCTGACATGAGGAGGAAAAAGTGCCCAGGACACCATGAATTGGTTCTTTCATTCGATGATAGGTTATTTATGATAGAGAGGTCAGGAGAAGACCCTTTGGGGAAGTGACATTTGACCAGACCTCTGACTTGGGAAAGAACAGGCAGGAGTGGGAGTGTGTGCAAAGGCCCTGAGGTAGAACGAACACAATGCCTAGCTCAAATTTGGTTGAAAGAGTTGCAGTTTATCTTGTTGGGAGATGGCTTTGAATTTGTTTCAAATAAGCTACTACATTTAAAAACTGGTGTTTTTATAGACATGTGTTTCTTTTCAAAATGTCCTTCTCATAGTTAGGATGGGTTTGAGCTGAGTAGCCCTGAGCGGGGCACATGCTTTCAGGTTCAACACAGCCCTACTAGCCAGCTACCCCAGCAAGCATGAGGCTCCCAGAAAAGTAAGATTCACAGTTGCTCACAGCAAACCTTGTCCTTGAAGAAGGGCTGGACCAAGTTAAATGACAACAGATGTTTGCAAGAAGCAGCACACACCTGAATTTTCAGGCTGCGTGGACAGAATTCCTCTACTCTTCTCTGGTCCTTGTTACAATTAACAAAGGGCTGTCAGCCATTCACTGCAATGTGGGCGCTTTGCTTAAGAGCTTTACCTTCTGAGCAATGTCTGCTATTTCTGCAGCACTTCACAGTTTATCTCACCCTCTCAATAGCTCTTAGGGTTAGGAATTGCCTCCCTGTTTTATGGTCAAGGAAGCTAGAGCTTAAGGCTTAATCCAGAAATACGTGGTGGCAGGCACCCACAGTCTCAGCTACTCAGGAAGTTGAGATAAGAGGTTTACTTCAGGCCAGGAGTTTGAAACCAGCTTGTGCAACAAACAAGATTCCTTCAGAAAGAGAGATAGAGAGATAGGTAGAGAGACCTGGGGGCGGAGGGGTTATTTTTCTCTTGTGAAAGGGTACATACCGATCTGTATCAGTGCTGGGGGACTGAAGTCTTAAAATGTAGGGCCGGGTGGAGAGTAAGACAGAATCCAGCACTTCATGGCATGCCTTCTAAGAGCAGATAGCAGGAAGCAGCACTTATCTGACAGACCCATGCAGAGACAGTGCACAGGGTCATTCATCATGGGCTCAGAAGAAGCTGAAGAAAGGGGTTGTGTTTTAGCGGAGGGGCCAGACTTAGGCACCCATTCTGTTTCAACTTTCGTTCAAACAGTTATTGACTGTGTTTTCTCTCTGAACACTACAAAAGGCCCTGAATTTTAGCCCAGAAAGTACAGCCTAAAGGCAAAAGGTCACTAGCTAGACATAACATCCCCATCCTGTCTTTCTCTGCCCAGCTGCCTTCACGGAGGGGTAGGTGGAGCATGCTGGGGAGGGGAGCGGGGGTCCCCCTGAATGTTTGCAGAGGGCTTTAGGGGAAGATGGCGCCTTGTAAGGTGGTGACAGGCAGTCGCTCAGATGATGAAATTTGAGAACTTTTTTTCAGTGATCTTTCACACTGTCCTGAACATCTATCTACTAAATAGAAAGAAATCTTTTGCTAGGCCTCATATCATTGCAGTAATGTGATCTGCCCTGTCAAAATAGAGCACTGGCAGTCAGGAGGCCTGTAAACAAACACCAGAGTTCCGAGGTGGCTGACCCTCAGACCCTGCAAAATGTGACACAGGTCAACAGCCCCAAGTTAATAATCTTCTACAGATATGTTTTAAGATTTGACTAAAACAAGAAACAAATATAGTTTGGTTTGGGGTGGGTTTCTCTTTGTTTTTGCTTGTTTTGTGCTCTGTAATCTTTAAATTGGAGCGTCTCTCTTTTGTTCAATAAGATTTCACCAACGACTTGCCCATAATGTAACACAAACAAACATTTGGTTGACTTCTTTAAATATTGAAATGGACAAAATAATGGAAGTTTCTGAAACTGGCAATCACTACAAGCACAGCAAGTCTGTTTCTTCATGAATTCATTATTTTGTTCATAAGCTTTTTACTCTTCACATGCAAGGAGGTATGAGATGATGTGTTCAAGTCTTAACATCCCTTTTGTATCAGAGCTTCAGAGAGGATCGGCAAAATAGACACTGGTCACTGTTCTGTCAGATAACATGACCTTGGGAAAGATGAATTAAAAGAAAAGAAGAGCTAGGATGTAGCTCAGGGTTAGCTTTCCTGTCAGCACATTAGAGGTTCTGGATTCATCCCCCAGCACCACCAATGAGGGAGTAAATGAAAAAGTGCACGCTGATCAGTCTCGGTAAAAGGGAGATATTAAAAAACGGAGAGGAATATGATCAAGTCATGTCAAAATGTCCACAACTACACATACAATCCTATAAAAAGTGTGTGTGTGTCCCCAAAACTGACTTAAGAATAAAAAAAAACTCGCACACTATAATTCAGCCCTTCTGCAGTCTGTGGGGGGAGGTGTTAGTCCAAGCACAAATGTAGTTCATGGGGAACAGTAAATGTCTCTTATGCCAACAAGTTAATTTCAGCTGCTTTCCAAAAGCAGGTGAGAAGCCCAAAAAGAAAAACATAGGATAACCTCACAAACTTAAAAATTTGAATTCTAAATCAGCAAATAAAATGCAGTGATGCTTAACAAAATGGTATAATGGACCAGAATGTGTGTATTCCAGATGTGTGAACACATTAGAACATTAGAAGGTTTGAAAATGTCATTTGTTGTGTTAAACAGAAATGAGAAACAGTTATCCCATCAGGTTTAGAAAAGGCATTAGGTAAAATTTAATACCCTGCAGGACAAAACCAAAGGCATGTGCCACTATGCCTTTGCATTAAAAAAAAGAAAAGAAAAGAAAAGAAAATCTGTATTTTTCAAAAGGGACTTATTTATTTGCTTATTTATTTGTTATGTGTGTATGTATGTGTATCACTTACACGAAGGGTCCAACACAGTCTCTTAGTAGAAAGTAACCAGCCCCAACAATTATCAAAATGTAAATGAAGATTACAGTGGTGAGCTGGGGGTGTTGCTGTCTGTGTTGGAGCACTTGCTTAGAATGAACGAGGGCCTGGGCTTGAATGCCAGTAGCAAAAAAACAAAAATTAAGGCTGAAATCAACCTATAGAAAGCCACGGTGAAACACTACCGATTGCTGGAAATCAAAAGCTCTGTACAAAATGTGAAACCATGGAAGCCAGTACATTGTAGAGCCCAGTTTGGTACAAGGTGTGCTCCCTGAGTTGTTAGAGTCAGTGCCTGGGCCCTGGCAGCTCTAATAAGCTAATGTTGCCTGTGTACCATCAATATGCCAATTAAGATACTGTTAATTAATGATAAATAGAGAAGAAGATTTCTTCAGTGTGCCACATTGGGAAGAGAAACAAATAAAGAAGCACTTCCACCCACATTCTCTGGGTACTGATATGGAAATCAGATTTAACTAAAGAGCAAGGGACAGGCATAAGTAAGCAGTCCTGGTCAGTGTGTGGTCTAGGCCATCATTGCCCTGGCTCCACTGTCTCCTGCAAAAGTGACCTGACAAGTCCTCAGAACTGGGTGAAACCTGTTTCTGGGAGACAAGTTACCCTGAGGCTGGCCCTGGCTTCTAGCCTTTTCCCAGCATGAGATTCCTGGGGAAATTCCAATCGGGTTTTCTTAATAGTCTGATAGCCAAAGGGAGGGATGCAATTGTCTCTTTAGAATTTCTTTATTCCTGCTGGGATTTAGGAGCCCTATCTTTTGTTTTCTCAAATCAGGGTGAAAAAGAGAACCGACTTAACAGGAGCCTTTAAATTGGACCCTGTCTATCTGAAGCACAATCACCAGGACTCGGGTGAGCAGGCCTGCCCACTTGTGCTGTTTGTTCAGGGTTTCCTTTTCTTCGGTGCTGCATTGGCTATGCATCTTCCTGAGGGCTGAAGGGGTCCCTTGCCCCTCACGACTCCTTCCACACGGGGTGGGGGAGGGGTGTAGTGGTTGGATTTCTCTAGCAGAGGCTCCCTCCCGTCTGAGAAGCACCAAGAGCCTGAGTTATACCAGGTGGGGGCTGGGACAGGAGGAGTGCAGCCTCCAGCCTCAGTACAGGCACAGGCACGTCTTCCAAGAAAGAAAACGTAATGGTGGCTGTGCTGATGTCTTCCCTGAAAAGGATTTTCACAACATCCATTAATACCACGTGGTTGGGGGGGGGAGAAAGGAAACTGGGTAGAGAAGGGGAATGAAGAGAAAATATGAAGACAACTTAGGTAGGGCCGGTGCACCAAAACACACTTCTGCATTTGGTGATCTGGTGCTGAATGGCAACGATGGTTAAAGGCGCTCATCGACTGCACAGACTAATAGAGGACATGTATGCAACGAGCAGTAGTATGAGCATGCACACAGACTTCTCTCACATGCCATTGCAGGAAGCCCACAGTTACAGGGGCGGCCTCTAATTTAGCCATGTCCTTCCCAGAGACCATGGAGAAAGCAGACACAATGAGATGTTTGAGCCATGATGACCATATAAGTGAGTCTCCTGTTAATACAACGAGATGCCTGAGGCACTTAACTCATATTTCTAGAGGCTCAAGTTCAAGATGGGACAGCCCCACAGATTTGAGCCTTTGTTGAGAGAAAGTACATCATGGCAGGAGCGTGTAGTTGTTGTGTAATATTTTGACTGCATCCTGACGCTCTCAAGACTGCCAATAAAATTTGCTTTGAATCAGAGGGTGGAGCCAGCAACTAGCTGACCAAATGAACTATGGAGATTTTGGAGGTCTGAGGACAGAAAGAGAGACACTGGAAGTAGTAGGGTGGGGCTTATAGAGTATCTCAGGCCTTTTTGAATGGAAGAATGAGAGAGAGAGAGGGAGAGGGAGAGAGAGAGAGAGAGAGAGAGAGAGAGAGAGAGAGGTTACTGTTTGCTTCTCCACCACTTCTCCGATCATTCCAGTTTTACCCTGATATCCGATTCTCAGGTTTTTATTGTTAAAGAATAATTACATAAATGCATCATGGAGTAAAACAAGTGCTCACATTGTGGCATATTCATAAGTCAGAGGTGCAGAGAAGAGGGGAGAAGAAGGGAAAGAGAAAAATTGATGTGCTATCACAATTCATTATGAATGTTCATCCCCAGGAATCTAAGAGAATCCCAATAGGCCCCGCTCTTTTTATTTATTTTTTTAAATGTCATGTGCATTCATGTTTTTGCCTGCATGTATGTCCATATGAGGGTGTTGGATACTCTGGAACTAGAGTTATAGACAGTTGTGAACTGCCATGTAGATGCTGGGAATTGAACCCAGGTCCTATGGAAGAGCAGCAAGTGCTCTTAACCACTGAGCCATCTCCCCAGCCCCTAGGCCCCCCTACCTCTTAAGGTCCCAAAGTATCTCCCAATAGCACCACTGTAGACTATGATCTACTGAAATTACAGTAGTGGTTATAGTACTGACAGAGCTTTCTCAGGGACAAAGAGATTTGGAGGACCGAGGACAGAAAGAGAGACAGGGGAAATCCTGCCAGTGTCTCATTAAGTCCTGGTCTATGAAGCAGTTGAATTCTTACAAAACATAAAGTACCATTCTATGTGCCTATTAGCCTTCTTTGTAGGCCATAGCCCCCAATGCGAAATCTGAGTCAGTGTAGGCTGGGGTCTGAAGGGCACCAAGGGAGTGGAAACCCAGCTTTTCCTGACAAGAAGTTCTGCTCAACTGCGTGGCCAAGGACGATGACCTCATATTTCTGATTGTCTTGCCTCTATCCCCCCAGAGTTGGGATTACAGAAATGTGCCACCACACCCACTTTATCTGGGGATCAAATCCAGGCTTTTGTGCATGCTAGGTAACACATTATAAACTGGGCCTGTATCTCCAGCCTGAGATTTTTATATAACAGAAAACGCTGGCAAAAGAGAGAAATGATTGCTCTCATTAAGTAGGCTTTTCAGATATAATCTGCATTGGTAAAAACCTATTTTGCAAAGTAGAAAAGAGTCAGTGCCAAAGTAAATCTCCTACCTCAACCTTCCAAATGCAAATATTTCTGTGCCAGTTACTTTTCTGTTCCTATGATAAAATGTCACGAACAAAAGCAATGTAGAAGAGAAAAAGGTTAATTTTGGCTTACAGTCCCAGAGGGATAGTGTCTATGATGGTGAGAAAAAGGCATGGCAACAGGCAAGACTCAACAGGAACAGAAAGCTAGCTGGTCACATTTTCATTCACACAGGAAGCAGAGAGAGTGAGAACAGGAAGTAGAACACGGCTGTAAAAAGTCTGCCCTTACCACCCCCCCCCCCCGTGATGTACTTCTTCCAGCAAGGAAGACTCTACCCCCCAAAGGTTCCATAACCTCCCCAAAACACCACCACCCACTAGAGAGGTTCAAGTATATGGGGCATTTGCTATTTAAACCACAGTTGTCAATATATTGTATTTCTCACAGTTTTAAGCATTGCCTGATTTGATTGCTTTATTGTTCCATTTAAAAGCTGCCCACACCAAATTAAATTATGAGGGCTTAAAGATGTAGTAGGTATGTAAGACACATTAAGTAGTCCACAGTGTGTATACAGCCGCAAGCATAGGAACTTGCTGGTGTAGGGGAGGAGTCGGCCATTGCTTGGGCTAACGCTAAGTGATTGTATAAGGAGCCCAGGCATTGAGCGCAGGGAAACAGACTCACGCCCAGTGAAACAGACTCGCAAAGAAGCAGATTATCACTCATGTTTTCGTGTAGCTCCAGAAGTGACTGTCTAAACCCTTCTCCCAGCCCCCAGTTGTGCCCTTCCACTGTGCTTCCCACAATGAGGAAATGTTCTAAGTCTGCCGTCCACATGGCAGCCACTAACCCACAGCGGGTGGATGACACTTGAAGGATGGCTCATCTGGCAGAACTACCTCTTCAATTTCCTTTAGTTTCACACAACAACTTGATTAAAGTAGCCGAATGTAGCTAGCGGTACTCTATCAGATGGCTCAGACACACGCACTCAAAGGAGGAAGTGCCATCCATTCATTTTCACTTATGAGTCATGTAGTTATTATCAGGTACCTTGGGCCTTTGTGAGTCACTATCAGGTTATTTTTGACACCATGCCACAGCCACCAGGTTCGTTTAATAGCTTCACTGCTGACAAGAGGTTCCAAAGAAAAGGTCAGAGTGTGGGATGGGAGTTGAGGGCCCTGCATAACGAAGTGCAGGCTCTGCCTCAGAGTTATTAAAAAGATAGGCTGACACTGTTATGCATGTCCCCAACACTGCCACTTTTATACTAGTTGAAAGAAAAAAAGACCTGGACTTTCCTGAGGCCAGATGGGAGTCAAGTAACGACTTTAGATGCCCTGTGAATAGAATGTGAACCCTCCTGTGCAGTGCATGCTGGGTACATTAGGTTGTCCCAGCTGAAGCACCCATGCTGCAGTGGCTATTGCCTAGAAAGCAGGGACTCTTACAAGCTGTAGCATGTGTGGCCTGGCCACTGTTCATGGATGACATTTCCAAGGTGCCTGACTGTGTGTGCTGCATCCAGCCTCAGCACTCTCCCCTAGTCCCCAGGACAGTCTAGAAACCTTGGTTTGTAACTCCTCACCCAGCCTCCTTCATACACTGTCCTGGGATCTAGGGCTCTAGGCACAAGAGGACACCAGAGTGCAAAACATCTTTTTCAATGTGGGGACACTGAGTCCAGGATTCGGAATCTGACTCGGAGTGTATCCAGAGAGCAGCTGTTCTGTACCAGCCAACATCCTTGAACAGGGAGATGAAATCCGCTCTCCCCCTTATACCCCCCCCCCCCCCCCCGCCCCATTGCTATGTGAATCATTCTCTGTATCACCAGCACCATTAATAATTCAGCCTTCCAAATGTGTCCTGGGCACCCTGCTTTCAGGGACTTCCCTTGAATCTGTTACCTTGAATGAGCCACAAAGAAAACGTAACCCTAGGTAGTTTCATGTCTGCCCCAGAAGACATCATTTGTAACATCTCTCTCTAATGGCCTCCCTTTGTCTTTCTCTTTTCTTCAGGGCTCATCACTGACTACAGGGTAAGTAGGTGATTTTTGTCCGTTGTAATCCAAACTGAACAAAATGCCAGGGGCTTCCTACCATGGTGGCTGCTGTCCCCACCTCCTGAGCAGGAGTCCACAAGAGGCCCATTCTAAATGTGCTCTAGTAAACATATTAGGTGGCTTTTCAGTAAGCTGCCCTGCCCAGTAAGTCCATCAGAGGACCCAGTTTAGAAGGCACAGCCCCTTCTAAGACAAAGTGGAGGGAGATTCCACATCAGTTCCTGCAAGGGTCGGTCTCCACAGCACACGTGGCTCTTTCCCCCTTCTGCGGTGTGCTCGGGGCAGCATGCTAAGGAGTGGTGGAGCAGAGTCTGGGAAGAGTCAGATTCTTGGACAGGAGATTGCCGTCTTGGCAGTTTTTCCTCGACTCGCTTTACTTCTTTCTCTTTTTTTTATTTGCCACAAATGTTTTTCTGGATTTTGAAAACACCAGGTTGTCCCAGCTTTACTCTGGAAAGGAATTTGGAACCGCAAGTAATGCTGGGAGGCTTCTTCCAAGAATAGAAGCCAAGCAGGCCGGGAACATGAAGGGGCCCACTGCATCTGCTGCTTTTCTGACTCAAGAAATGACCCGGCTCATTTGCTGGGTGGGGTGGCGGGTGTGCATGGTGAGCAGAGGACATTATCAAAGCATCTTGTCTGAAGTAGTGTGTCTAAATTCTTGGGGCAGTATGTCAGGCGCTGATAATAAGGTAGCAGGATTACCTCTCACAGACATAGAGTACCCTTCCCGCTTCTGGTGACAGCTGCAAGCTGGCAGGTGCAGGTCACCAGAGAATCTTCATTACAGCTCCCCTCGGACAGAGTTTCAGGGAAGCTTGTACCATGGGGGAAAGTCAGGATATGTGTAGATATGAGTATGACCAGGAGAACAATTCATTATCTCATTTAACTTTGTACACACAATCCCTATTGAGGACCTAACTTACCTTTTAGAAAGCATTACTTAAAGGATGATGTGAGAATATTAAAAATAGTTTGAGGACAAAATTATTCACAGTCTCTTCATCCTGACATTGCCCTGGGCTTTTGGGTTTGCATTGCCTTTGTGGGGGGGGGGGGGTATGATACTACACTCTTGAGAAAGAGCTCACAATCTTTGTTAGGCAGAACTTGGTAAGTCTGTAGGCAATTGTTAGCAGAGCCTCCATTATTTTAAGTGAACTTGGCATGGGGGGTCAGATCTCCCTTTCCCCCCAAAGGATACTTAAACTGTGCAGAGGCAAAATTTAAAGAAAAATAAAAACCACAAATTTTGTGCATCCTGTGGCCTCGTTGTCCCGTTTTTATTTTATACACATGGTAATTGTATGCCTGCTGCAGAGTAACTCAGGAAAGTTAGAAACCTTTATAAAGAAATAGTTGAAGCCTGGTGGTGGTATACACCTTTAATTCCATCACTTGGGTGGCAGAGGCAGGCCTGCTCTACAGAGTGAGTTCCAGGGCAGTCAGGGCTACACAGAGAAACCCTGTCTTGAAAAACCAAAACAAAAGTTCAATAGTAAGGAATTAAACTAAGGCATAAAGTCGGTCATGGGGGTGCACACCTTCAATTCCAGCACTCAGGAGGCAGAGGTAAGAGGATCTCTATGAGTTTAAGGCCAACCTAGCCTACCAAGTGAGTCCATACCATCAGGAGCTACATAATGAAACCCTGTCTCAAAAACCAAACAAACAAAAGAAATTATACCATAGGCACATGTGTATAGGAAAAACAGCATATATAAGTTTGGTGTTGTCCCAGATTTCATCCATGCACAGGGGAGAGATTTTGTAACTCACCTCCTGATTAAGGGAGAAACAATGGTATTTAAAAATAAATGATCTTTATTTTCCTGGAGCACCGAACTCAGGCTAACTCGTACTTGTATCTCTGGTAGAAGACAGCAGCGGAGTTTAGGGTGCTCTTCCTAACTGTAGAACACCATCTCATGCAGGGGGACGACTGTCTCTCTCCACAGCCCCGGAGCGGGAACTCGGAGGGGGGGGGGGAAGCGAAGGGCTCCCCTCCCCCAGCCTGCCCTTTATAAGCTCAAGTAGAGAATTTCAAAGAAAGCCAGGAAGTAGTGCAAGGCCGTCCTCCTCCTGACTGGCCTGTGTCTCATCTCTGTCCTTTCCTACGTGCGTTTATTGCATTTCCAACCACCATCCATCACCATCAAGAAGAATGTGAGGGCCAGTGTGAACAGCCAGTCAGCTGACCGTCTGGGAGAGTGAGGAGCAGCAGAGGAAAGCTTCTCTGGTGAAAGGGTATTGGGGTCACTCCCAGAGGTCAGGGAGACAAAGGAGCTGACACTGTTTCAGAGTGCAGATTCAGTGCATGCAGGCAGAGAAAGGCCGACACACAAGGGGCTCAGCACCCTCTCTCGCTGCCCGGATGACCCCCTGCCCCCATGGAAGCTCCCTCGGGAAGGGCCACATCTTTTCTCTTTCTTACTCCAGCACCTTCTCTGCTGTGCACTCAGTCTGTCCCGTGAAGCTAACAAACATCAGTGCCTCCCAGGCAGTGCTCCTTCTGTCCCCGGTTCCCTAGGATGTGAAGCCGCTTTTGGCTCCCCTCTCCCCAACTCGCACAGAAAATTCTTTCTTTGCCTTCCGGGTTGGAAAATGGGCCCTTCTGTAGGGAAATGGCCGCCTCCAGACGAAACTGGCCAACTGCGAAGTTGAAAAGGAGCCTGGCTGTTAACACATTTCTCACTGATGTAGTCTTCTTTATATTTTGTTTCAGCACTGGCAGATCCCACTGGGGCGGAGATTTCGCTCTTTGAAAATGTGGTTTGTTTTCAGAATGTACGGAGTCAAGGGACTGCAGGCTTACATCCGCAAGGTGAAGACGGCCTTCTTTGTTTATCTGAGTAATATTGTAATGGTCTAAGTAGACTTTGAAATGAATTCGGGTGTCTTAGGGAGCAAACACTGTCACACATTGCCTAACAATGGGGATGTTCTGAGAAATACATCATGGGGCACTTCCATAAACATGAGGATATCAGAATTTTTATATACAGCTGAGATAGACACTTTCCTAGCAGGCACAGGCCTCTGGGGCAGAGGAAAAATATGGTCTGGTGCTGTCTGAAACAATATTTTAAGTAAAAATTTGGAGCCAGGAAGTAGTTTGGGCCTTGAAGGTTAGGACATTCACAATCTGGGCCCACGTGTCTTCTAAGACACTTTTGTTAGAATGGAGGTTATCACCTCCAGGAAGTTAGTTAAACCAGTAGTGTGTAGATTTTATCCCCCTTCCCCCCAATCCAGCCAACAGCAAGTTTGACTGAGCATTACTAACAGTGAAAACATGTTTTTCTTACCCTAGCCCTTCCCCAAAATAGCAAACTAAGAGACCCTTTGAGTAATTTGGGGTAGATAGATACCATTTAGTCCCCGTGATTTCAAGGAGGCTTCCTGGGCTGTATGTAACTTCTGTTTCAACATGCAATGTAGATCACTGAGATATGCATTAAACTGCTTTGCGGAACCACTGATTGGTTCCAAGTCCCCTACTACCCTACTTTTTTTTCAACAGCTGGGGAAGCTGAGGCCTGAATATGAGCCAGGACTTGTCCACCCATTTAGCCAGATGCAGAGGGCCCACTGACTTCAGCTCAGTCCTTTCTAAGCCACAGCATCATCTTGATGAGGCAAGCATGCCTGTGGTTTCCAGCCTGTGGTGGTGACAGCTTTCCCCTTAAGTCCCAGTACCCAATGCATCACCAGATGTGCAGCCAAAGGCAGAGGCTGAATGTCTCCAGGCTCCTTTTCTGTGACCAGGATGCAGAAAAGCATTTGTGTCCTGAGTACCTATCACACGCTACAAACTGGCATCTGTCCAGATCACAAAACTATTGTAAGGACGTGTATGCAGACATCAAGCACTGTGAGCAGCTACACAGAGGAGAAAACTAGAAACTGAGGGTGTGTGTAGATTTCTAGGATAGTCCCTGGTCCAACTGCAAAAGGAATAAGGAGGGTGAGTCAACTTGGCTTAATAAGAAAAAATCCCAGAGTGGTTTATCAGTCGAAGGTGACGATGACTTTCAGTTCAGGACAACTCACTGAGATTAGGCTGTGCCAGGTTAAAAACACACCACACCTCTTTCTGGAAAGGCCTCAATCCTGCCCTAACAAGAGACAGTAAGAATGGTCAAAGCTGTTCCTAGGCCTGAGCTAATTGAAGCTCGATTTAGTCCTGAATCTTTGGTGCCCCCTGGTGGGATGACTAGGGACAATTGCTTCAACTGTGTTTCAGTCCCGTCAAGCCTTGTGTGCTTCAGCTTCTCTTAAGCATGTACCCTGTGGCAGCTAGCGCTGGGTGCCAACAGGTTCCAATTAGCTAAGTGTGCACATGGACAGTGATGGGCGTGTTCTCTTATGTGGTTTTAATCAGCGTTTGAGTTCTATAAACATCTAGAGATTAAATAAGCTTATGTGTTCAATATTATTTTTTTTTTTTTATTTTGCAGATAAGGTAGCCTCGGTAGGCCTGAGGCTCAGTGAGCAGGTTGGCCTCAGAATCACAGAGGTCTCAATCTCCTAGGTGCTATGATTAAAGGCATGCACCACCATGCCAGAGAGCGCATGGTCCTTGAATATGGCAGGTGAAGCTGATTCCTACTTATCAGTAGCAATCCGGCTGAGACCACAGCCCAGCCTGTTAGTGAAGTGATGCTCCAGCCTTGGGCAGCTGCTGTGGATCCTATCAGAACCATGACATGACCAGAAGGCCTTGGTTATGACTCTCTCTCTGTCTGTCTCTCTCTCTCTGAGCCTCAGTTCCTATCTGCAAATTAGTAAATTAATATCCCTATATCATATTTTAAGCTGTCCTGAGGAGAGCAAGGCAGCTGGATGTGGCCTTTCTTTCTTCTGGAATCTTCAACACCTTCCTTATAATATTTACTATAAAATCGTAAAAGAAAGAGGGTTTAAAACATAGATACCCAAAGAGAAGAAAATGACTGTTTTTCTGAGGAAACTATGGTATACCTTGTGGAACAGGGCAGTTGAGTTTCCTCTCAACCAGTGTGGGAAATGCTGGTGAGTGGACAGGCCTCTCTCCGAGCATGTGAAGGAATAATAGATGTGATGTACAGTCCTGTAAGATTCTGGGTGGCCAGGGTTAGACTTAAGTTGTGATGAGAAACACAGCAAGTTTCCCTTCTCTTTTTCTAGCACGTGGCACTGTCTCATGAGTTTGAGTCTCTGGTACGCCAGGACCCTCGCTTTGAGATCTGCACGGAAGTCATTCTTGGGCTGGTCTGCTTTCGGCTCAAGGTATGTTATGCCAATTTCAGCCATCTTTGTTTTTGTTGAATGAGATAAAGTATTATTCATGACCTCCACATGCACAGTTGTGTATCAGTTGCCAAGGGCTACAGAACATGACCCGTGGTGCTTAGCAGGCGGTGCTGGCTGGCTGACTAGCCCCGTAGACTCTCTTCCATGGACTTGCTGCCCAGTTTCCTCAGATGTGATTGGATGCTTTCCTCTTGACCCAATGCCAAGAGTCCATCCAATACCTCTGGAACTGTACTCCTCTGCTGAGCTGTCTGTGGCCTCAGTAACCAGGTCACCTGTGGACACACAGCATCAGCACATCTGGGGAACTGGTTAGATAAACAAACCTCACTATCCCAGTCATCTGGCTATATATACCTCAGCAAGATTCCTGCCCAGAGGGGGCACCTGGGCTGTGTGTTCACTTTGTGAGGGAACCCTGCCCAGACCAGCAAGGGAGTAAGCTATCTTTGCAGAGACTTACACAGCCATGTTACTCAAAAGGCCCCTGCTCATCAGTGTTTTATAAATGAAACCAGATGCTCTGGCCATTACAGAGCTGGCTTTTTAATAGGCCAACAGTTTTATGTTTTGTTTTCTTCCTCCTCTCCTTCCTCTTCTCCTTTTTTACAGTACTGGATTGGAACCAGAGCTTCACACATGCTAGACAAGTCTATCCTACACTACAGCCACAGACCCTGTCTCCTTTTTTCTCCCCCCTTTTAAAAATAAGAAACAAGGGCCTCATGATGTTACCCAGGCTGACCTAAAATTTGCAATCCTCCCAAGTAGCTGGGTCTGCAGATGCATGCCACGAGCTTGACTGGAAGTTTCTGAATCAGTTCTAGGTCTTGCCAGGAGGCCTCCTTGTCTGAGCCTAGACAGCAATCATGAGAAGGAGCCATCTGGGATACATCAATTCCATGATGTTGCACCTCCGTGTACTGTCTCCTTCCCTCATCTTGATTCTTAGAGTTTGAGATGAAATCCATCCCTGGGGAATCCTAGAAGCAGCAAGCATTAATGTTGTGGTGTGAGAGCTAGGAGAGGGGCTCCATGCTTTCGGCAAGTATGAAACAGAATGTCTAGGGAAGATGTGTAGGCCATATGTAGCCTGTGTGGGATGCCTCAAGATATCCATGTCCCTGGAGTTTGGTGTATGGTTCATAGAATGTGGCAGACCTACCAACATTGGGTTAGCATTTGTCCCCCAAGCCGGTATTTGTTTCCATTGCTGTACATGTCACTGTAAGATATTTTCAGTTTTGTAGGAGGCTTCTCTTTTCATTGTTTTATTGAGATGTAATTCACTTTGGCTTTTAACTTGTCTATTTGAGTGACTTTTGTTATAGCTACAGGGCTGTGAGACCATCACCACAATATAATTAAGAAGATGTTTGTCTTTTCCAAAAACCTCTATATAATAATGCCTTTTGTGATTGTCTGCTTCACTTTTAACATGATGTTCTCAAGTCTAAGACTATTGCTGGATTTGTATAATTTAAGAGTTTCTGCTCCTTGTCACATTCATGGTAGTGTGTGCAGCCTGGAGATGCAGAACCCTCCATACTCTAAAGCTAAGAAGACTTTTCTTCTGTGAGTGAGCCTTTGCTGTATCCTTCCCACGACTGCGCCCTTCCTTTCTCCTTTCCTTTCCTTTCCTTTCCTTCCCTTTCCTTCCCTTCCCTTTCCTTTCCTCTCTTTCTTTTCTTCTTTTCTTTTCTTTTCTTTTTTCAAGACAGCATTTCTCTGTGTAGCCCTGGCTGTCCTGGAACTTGCTTCTGTAGACCAAGCTGGCCTTGAACTCAGAGATCCTCCTGCCTCTGTAGTGCTGGGATCAAAAGCATATGCCACCACTGCCAAGCTTACACTTTTTTTTCTTAAGGAAAAACATTAGACAAACACTATTCCTTATTTTTCTCCCTGTCCTTATTCTATCCCTTTTGAGTTTTCAATCTTCTCCATCCTTGATGGCATAAACAAGCATATATTGTGGCTACTTACTTATTGAGACAGTATCTGGTGTACACCAGGCTACCTTCAAACTGAATGTGTAGCCAAGGACTATCTTGAACTGATTCTCTCATGTCACCTCTCAATAGGTGAGGTTACAGGTACACACCACTCTGCTAGCTGAAAATAGCATCCGCTATACAAAATTTACTTTTGTGTCATTAAACCCAGATTTCACATGTGCCAGACAATAAATGCTCTACCACCAAGCTACATTTCTGGCCCTGTAGCCCTTTATTGGACATGAAGTATGTGATATTACAATAGCATAGTTGTTCCTTTCTCCCTGGCCAGACTCCTCTAATCTTTTTTGTTTGTTTGTTTTCTTTTTATGAGACAGGGTTTGTTTGCATTGCTTTGGAGCTTGTCCAGGAACTCATTCTGTAGACCAGGCTGGCCTCAAACTCACAGAGATTTGCCTGCCTCTGCCTGCTGAGTGCTGGGATTAAAGACATGTGCCACTACCACCTGGTACAGGCTCCTCTAATCTTACTTGGCTTACTTTTGTCTTTTTTCTTTATTGCATCTCTAACCATTTCTGTTTGCTTTCTGGTCCTACTTCATGGAAATCCTGTCTAATCCAAACAAAATGAAAATGCACACAACTTTTTCCTAAGTACTTGGTTCTTGTTTTCTGTGTCACATGGATTTCCAAGGTATGCTCTCATGCTGAATCTTTTTTACAAAGTTCGTTCTCTTAGAACCACCTCTCATGTGTCCATCTTCCTTGAATAGGCCCTCATTGTCCAGACGTGGTACTTACACCAACAGTCTGAATAGCCTGTAGTTCCTTCACTGTGCACTTAAGAGTTTCTTGGATGTCACACTCAGACCCACAGCTAGAGGAGTATGAATCTGTCTAGGGCCAAAAGCAATTTTCAGTGTCCAGCATGTATTCAGCTACTATCATCCAGACAGAGAGGACGTTTTCCTTCCAGTGGATCCTCCTACATCTCTACCCTTAAAGTACAGAATAAATGGTCCAGTCCTGCCAGGGTCTTATGACTATGGAGTGATGCCCGTGACCATCCCCTTTCTATATTTTGTTATACTGAAAGGCTGTGAAGACGGGGAGCCACTTCATGGCAGCTTATACAGAGAAGTGAAGGGATAGGCAAAGAACAGCCACCAGCCTGTCTGCTTGGGGCCCAAATGGAAAGTGAAGAGTTTCTGTGTGTTGGTTGATAAGGCCCTCTTATCTCTGGTCAGTCACTGGGAGTGGAGGACTCTGGCCTCTCTGTCTCCAGGTGGTTGATTATTCCCTTTCTAGAGAGGCTGTATAGAGGTCATCCGTGATCCCCTGTCCCTGCACTTACAGATGTCCTTTGCAGATTCTCACAACAGCTTGACTAGGGTTCCATTGTCTCTATTGTTGAGACCTCCTGTGGGTTCCAAAGTCTCTAAAGCTGCTCTGGTGTGCCAGGGACCCAGTTCCATTGTTTATACTCACCTGTTTGTTGACAATGCCTCTAGGGACTTTCATATCCCTTAAAGGAAGTTGGAGGATGGGAAGGTCAACTTCTGATAACCCAGATCTTGGAGAAATGGTGTCACAGGAAAAATGATCCCATAAATTCTATTAGCCTGTATGAGTTACTTCATCAAGCTTTCTGGCATCTTTCATACATAATGAAAAGTAACGATGGTTTCTTTGTTGTCTACTAACTCCGGGTGTTACCAGACTTGGTGTTACATGATGGATCTGTTTTCTAATTACCTCAGGGCTCCAACCAGCTGAATGAAACTCTTTTACAAAGAATAAACAGCACCAAAAAAATCCACTTGGTTCCGTGTCATCTGCGAGACAAGTTCGTGCTGCGCTTTGCTGTATGCTCTCGCACTGTGGAGTCTGCCCACGTGCAGCTGGCCTGGGAGCACATCAGAGAGCTGGCAAGCAGCGTGCTGAGAGCCGAGAAGCAGTGAAAGCAGGACTCCCTCAGGTAAGCTAGCAATGCCAGGAACATGCTGTCCTCCTGGCCTCAGGGTTCCAGCTCAGTCCCAGCTTGGCCACTCAGTGCTGTGGGGCTGAGCTCCACTGTAAGGTGAGGAAGAGAAGATTGTAAACATGCTCAGTCAGGAAAAAACAGAAAGCATGCTACGTGTAATGAGTCTACAAAGTGAGTTTGTATTCACTTCTGTGGGAATATACATAATAACTAATGTAGAGGTCTTGCCCTATACTTTCCCCTCAGATTTCCCCAAGCAACACCGACCAAAGCAACTATCACAGTAAGCTTTAGATACACGAAAACAATAAATGGGACAGTCATGTGACTGACTTACTCTGGCAGGAAAGCTCAACATAGTGATGGTGAAGAAGGACAAAGCTTCCAAGGGAGAGTTTTGCAGACAGCACTGTTACAGTGATATTTATTTATCATTAGAGATGTCAGGTTGGCACATAAATGTTTTGATTTTTTTGTTTGTTTTCTGAGACAGGGTTTCTCTGTGTAGCTCTGGCTGTCCTAGAACTCTGTAGACTGGGCTGGCCTTGAACTCAGAGATCCACTTGCCTCTGCTTCCAGAGTGCAGGGATTAAAGGTGTGTGCCACCACCGCCCTGCCTAAATTCTTCAGTTAAAACAATTGTTTTCTTTTTTTTTTTTTTTTTTTGGTATTGTTTCACTGCAGAAATAGTATATTCCTTCTCTGTATTCAGTTTAGAAGTACACAAAATTCTTATTTTCATGCTGGGAATGGAACAAGTATCTTGTGCCTTCCAGGCAGGTGTACCACCGCTGAGCTACACTGCTACTCTCTTTCTTTTCTATTTATTTATAATCCCTAAGTTTGTGCTTTTTTTTTTTTTTTCTGTAGAGATCAAAAGTTGAAAAGAAGTATACCTGCAAACTGGAATGAGAGAAAAATAATCACCACCCTGTCTGCGTGAAATCATGCTTATATGTGGCCTTGTGTCTCCAAAACTAACCAGAAATCTGTGATCGGCCTTTCAGTGACCTGTCAGTGAAGAAATATTTTCTGTTTTATCTAGGAAGAAATGTTTTCTGTGTGCAAAGCTGATGCCAGTGGCTATAGCTTTTGTTCTTTATTTGGCTGTGGTTTTTGTTGATAATAAGATATCTTTGTGCTCCTGAAGCCATTGGTGGCAGGAAAGTCTTGCTTTAGTTTTGAGGGCAGTCTTTGGTTTTACCTCAGACTATTTCTATGGCCGTTAGCTTGTCCTGTGTGGCTCAACCCTTAATAAACAATTGATGTGCAATACTAACTGTGTTGAGTAAGCATCTTGTTTAACAATGTTTCAGATTTATTCTTGTGAACTTGACTTACCCTTTCAAGCATGCCACCCTTGTTAATGTTCATTTAGTCATCGTGTTTAATAAAAGCCTGGTATGTATCAGTCATAGTTCAGATTTGTTAACACTCAAGTTCTGCTTAGAAATGAGTTCAACCTGTAGGTATTTACTCAAATAATCTCTAATTTTTATAAGGAATCATTCTGATTTTAGGGGAAAAAATGTAGATTTATTTGTGTGTGTGTATGTATGTGTGTAGTGCTCAGGGAGGCCAGAAGAGGCCATCGAATCCTCTAGAGCTAGGGTAAAAATAGTTGTAACCTACCTATGGGTGCCTCTTAGAAATCAAATGTGTGTCTTCCATAAGAACAGTGTGCACTTTTAGCTACTTATCTGTCTCTCCAATCCTAACATATTATTGTCCTTTAGAACCTTTAGAAATGCCAATGGTGCCTGCTGTTGGTGCCCAACACCTTTAATCCCAGCACTTGGGAGGCAGAGGCATGCAGATCTCAGTGAGTTCAAGGTCAGTCTGGTCTACAAAGCAAGTTCCAGGACAGCCAGAACTTTTACACAGGAAAACCCTGTCTTGAAAAACAAAACAAAACAAAACAAACAAACAAAAACAAAAACAAAAAACAAAAAAAAAATTGCCAATGGCATTCAGAAGGTGTCCTTGGATTATTAGTAGGTGTGGTGGTTTATGTTGAGTGTCCACTTGGTAGGACCTAGACTCATCTAGGAGACAAGCCTCTGTGTATGGCTGTGAAGGGATTTATAGACTAGATTGCCTATGGCCATGCCTGAGAGGGATTATTTCGATTAAGTTACTTGAGGTGGGAAAACCTCCCGCCAATGTGGGTGGCATCATTTCCTGGTCTTGAGTCCTGGACTGCACAAACAGGAAACTGCTAGCTGAGCATAGCCTTCATAGGTCTCTTTTTCCAGACTGTGGATGCAGCACCATCGACTTCTGTGATGGACTATGTGCTCAAACTGTCAGGCCAAACAAATGCACCGGTTTTCCCTTAGGTTGCTTTTGTCAGGGATTTTTTTTTTTTTTTTTTTTTTTTTTTTTTAATCACAGCAACAAGAAAAGTAAGGTAGCATGTATATTTTGAATTTCTGACACCTCTGACATTTGTGTAAATGTAGCAGGATGATATGATCTGTTCTTCAGAAATCTTGGTGCTTATCATGCATGTTCTCCATCTTATTTGGTCAGGACATTTGTTTATAGATAAACCAGATTCGGCTTTTGTCCTGATGTGGAGGCAAGGGATGGTATATTGAGGCCACCAAAACCATCTTGTGGTAGGACCAGTAGAATATAAAACACTCAAATTACTGAGCTGAGGTTGATGCGACTACATTTTACAATGATTGTTCTTCATGTCTCTGTGTGCCCTTGTGTATGCTGTAAGGCTCCAAGATGAGTCACTGCTGCCATTGACATGATCCCATCTTCTGCTGCAGAAAGAGCTCCATTCGGCACAGTCTTTATCTCTGGCAAGATGGTTGACACAGTATGAGAAAGTGATTAGATGGCATGGGCCATAGGACACATTGCACAAATGGGAGGCAGGGGTTATCTGAAAGGCTAGAGTATTTCTTTCTAAAACTGTCTGAATCTTTAGGAAATACCATCTATGACTTCAGTTTATGTTCAGACCTAGGAGGGATGCAATCTTGGGTAAATATGGCTCATTTTTAGTTTATTCAATGTCATATTAGAATTTATATTGCTGTGATAATAACACCATGACCAAAAACAACTTGAAGAGGAAGAGGCTGATTTGGCTTACACTTCCACCTCATAGCCTATCATTGAAAGAAAGTGAAGAAAGTAACTCAAGGCAAGAATTGATGAAAAGGAAGCAATGTGGCTTAGGGCTTTGCTCAGTTTGTTTTCTTATAGCAGTGAGGTCCACTAGCATTGCCTACAGTGATCTAGGCCTTCCCACATCAATCTTCAATCAAGAAAATGTCCCAGAGGCCTATCTAGTGAGAGCAGTTTCTCATTTGCAGTTTCCTCTTCCCAAATGACTCTAGTGTGTGTCAAGTTGATGCCCACACACCCATCTACTAGCCTCTCCAGGCATTTCTTCAGTGTGGTGCTGAAAACTCCAAAAACACTCAGCCCTAGAAACAGGAAGATGAGTCTCCTACCAGTTAACAAAACTATACACTGGCACTTACTCAATGGCAGGCACTGTTACCCACACTTGAAATTATCAATTTAATACTCATCTTAAAATTCCATGAGTTAAGCTGTACTACTACCTCCCATTTTACAGATGAGAAAACCGAGGCCCCAGGGAGGTTTGATGACATGTTTTAATGTCACAGAGATAACTGGCACTTGAGCAATGAATGCTGTCCTGGAAGTCAGGCTCCTGTTAAACCCTGTGACCACTTGTGCCATGAGTTCCCCAGGACTAACTTTGTGCCGATTAATGTTTTGTCAAGTTGACACAAACTACAGTCACCTGGGAGGAAGGAACCTCAGCTTCCTCCCTTAGATTGCCTGTGTGTGTGATATGTTCTTGATTAACAATAGAATTGGGAAGGTCCAGCCAGCTATGGGTGATAGCACACTTGTACAGGTGGTCCTAGGCAACCTGGGTTAGCCATGAAAGTAAGCCGGTGAGCAGTGTTCCTCCATGGCCTCCGCTTCAGTTCCTGACACTATGTTCTTGCTTGGAGTTCCTGACTAGAATTTCCTTCACGATGGGCTGTGAGTTGTAAGGTAAAATAAACCTTCTCTTCCCCAAGTTGCTTCTGATCATGGTATTTACGACAACAGAAAGCAAGCTAAGACAAAGGTTTCTCGGGTAGGGGGACGCAAGGACATTTGGTGCATATGGAACAAGCTCCATATTTATCCGCCTGGGTAAATCTTGTCTCTGATCCCACCTCTACATTTTCTACATAGAATTCAGTCTGTCAAAGCCAGGGTTGGTGGCACATGCTTTTAATCCCAGCACTTGGGAGGCAGAAGTAGTCAGATTTCTGAATTCAAGATACTCAGGGTTACAAAGAGAAATCTTGTCTTGAAACAACAAAAACAAAGACAAACAAACAGAAAGAATACAGTATGCCTGGATTAAGACTAGTCCATGGTCACCATGTGGAACCTCTATTTAAATCTGTGTCCAATGCAATATCATACTAGAGCACACTGACCTCTGGTGGCACTGGAACTAGATGCTGCCTGTATGGCCTCCGGTGTTTGCTGAATACAGGCACTTCCTCTTGGTGTTGGGCAAGCCCTAGACTTATCTGGACATAGCAGACAGCAGACAAAAGACTTATCCTTGAACATCTCTTGTCTAGAACAAAGCAAAGAGCAGACTTCCAGGAACCAGAGGTCCAAGTTAGGCTGACCACATACCAGTCAGCGTGGAGAGAAGCCCAAGGCAAGACAGGGAGATGTCACAGGTGGCATCTCATCATCTTAAGGGGTACACAGGAAAGGGATAAAGACCCCAAGGGAAGGCAGGATTGAACTTGTAACTAGGGAATCTAATTGATGATATGCACTGGAGAATGATCTTAGAGGAATTTTACCCAGAAAGTTTATGTTTAAGGAAACATGGTATCTGCCTGATAGCATTTTGGCCTAGGGATAGCTTTATTGTTATATGCAAATCATATAAATTCCCAAATATTAACAGTTTTCACCACCTTGATATAAAAATCAGTTTCCGGGGCACCTCTCTGTGTGTGCCATAACATAACCTAGTAATAAGTAGTAGGAAAAAATAATAAGAAAATACTAGGAGAGTAAGTTGCTTGCATAAACTGGGAATATTAGGAAGGACCATTTTAAAGAAACTTTCATGGTTCTCAAAAGCAGACATGCAACAGACATAGCCAGCTCAAATCGATACTCAAGGAAGCAGAGGGATCCACAAATGGACCAGTTTTTCTTAAACAGAGGGAATTCAAAGCAGCCAGAGCCCAAACTGCCTCAGCTTGATTACATCCTTCTGCTCCAACCTCATAGAAAAGGTGACCTGAAGTAAGCTGGCATCAACCTGCCAGCTCCTATCCAATAGTCTTGTCTCTCTACTTTACAAAACTCACCCTTTTACTTTTGCCCAGCTCTCATTCCATTTTGTAGAGTGGAGGTTGCCCTGTTCATGAATTTAAAGGCTAATTAAATATAATTAGAACTTAGACTTGTTAAAATTCTGCCTCTGGTTGTAGGGGAGAGTACCATCTAATTAAAACTTCAGTAGAACTGTGTGTTCCATTCACGCTAGGCTGCCACAGACTATATCCAAGGAATGGCTGGGTACACCACCTCCAATCTTCATTGGGCCTATTTCACCAAGGTAGGCTGGGAGCAGAAAGATGTGGCAACTGACAGAAACCCAACCACACTCAGGAAATCTGAGAGGAAGAGACAGATTTAATTTTTGTCTCATCCCTTTTTCCTCTCTCTACAACCATCTACTTCTTCCTTGCCTATAAGCATAGTTTAAAAATATTTTTATTATGTGCTTGTGTGGAAAAGTCACATATGCCAAGACTTCAAAGGACAACTGTGTGGAGTCAGTTTTCTCCTTCCACGTTTTCATGGGTTCTGGAGCTCAAACTAAGGACAATGGGCTTGCACAGCAAGCACTTCTACCTGAGACATCTTGCTAGCCCCCCAAACACATTTTTTTCCTGGCAAGAAGATGCATATTATTTGGGAACATCTCTTTCTGCTCAAAACAAATCAGCCAACGGAACTATACACAGGCATTGTCTGAGATTATGTTTATAAACTCAGATACATAAGCAAGAAGAACCCCTCCTACTAAGGGTACTGTTTCTGTCTGCTTAAGAGGCAATTTCTTCATTGCAGGCCCAACAACTTCCACTCATGAGAATGAGTCTATTAAGCAGTTTGTGTTCTCAGACAGCATATTTACTACTTGCATGGCTTAAGCCTTAACCTTGTCCACACTATGCATTGGGTTGTGATTCTAACAAAGCCAATTCTTTTTAAAAATTATTTTTAATTTTATTTATTTTAACAAAGCCAATTTTTAAAAGATGGAAGTCTTTACATAGCATAAGAGTTTAAACTGCACCAGAGAATCACGTTGCC